AGTTGCAAGTGTAGTAATATTTCTCATTTGCTGAGACCAAAGTTGTGATAGTCTATCGAAGAGCTATTATATGTTTTAAATTAGCATCTCCTCCAAACAATAATCTTGCAGCTCTGGTACACAGACCTCCTCCTTTTTGAAGGCTCCAGTGGGGGTAAGAAGGGTCCTTCTGGATTGTCACTCAAGTTCCTTCTGAACAAGATGGATGTGTATCTCTCAGGGAGGTTAGGATAGGAGTTGGCAGGTTGTAACCACCACAGAGCAAGAGCTCCACTGTCTGTAGCTTCAGGAAACCAGAGCCACGGAAAGAGCTTAATCTGCAGGTACACCAGGCTCTTTTCTTCAGAAATTCTGCCCAACACATCCCTGTACCGCGTGTGCCTGGCTCCAGCCCATCTCTCCAGGCACAGCATCCTAGCATTTATCTCCTCGCATTCACAGCCACCTGCTGGCTCCTCCTCACTCACACCCCAGCCCTGGCTGGAACATCGTGTACTTGGCATGAGGATGCTCCCCATGACAGCACAGCAGATATCCTCCGGACACCTTGGGCAAACATGAAGAGCCTGCCATATATCCAGTCCCCCTGCTTTTTGCTCCATCCCCTAAACAGCTGGCAGCAGTTTATCCACCCGAGCAGGACAGCTCCTCCTCGGACGAGGTATTTGGTACTCCTGCCGAGGCAGAAGGAACACCTGCAGCGAGGAGCTGGGACCACATCCTACTCCCCCAACCAGCAAGAGTCCCCTGCCAGCAGGGGAGGAGGTTTCTGTGGGTACGAGATTGCTGGCAAAATGCTGATGCATCTGTGTGCCTGACTCTTTAACCTTCTCGTCCTTCCCTGAACCCGTTCCCTTCTTCCTTTGTCTCCCCTTCCCCCTCCTCCTGCTTCTCAGCATTCCCTTCCTTCCCCGTATCTGTACGTCCCTAGAGCTGCCGCCTGCCAGGGCAGCTGCAGCAGTGGCAGCACCGCGGAGCTCGGCTGCGTGGGTGCCTCTCCACCATCCCTTGGAGTGCAGCCGAGCGCCTGCCTCGGGGAGCCTGCCACAGGACGCGTGAAACTGGAGAGCATCTGCTTCAGTAAATTGTTTGGTTATTCTGTATCACAGAAACAACAAATAACGAGGGAAAACAGTGATTTAAGGTACAGGCACACAACCATTAATGAGCAGGTGATTAGACAGACAATAAGGGAAGCCAGAGCTTGCCAGGCACTGATTGATGGGCCATTAAAGGAGCTAATCTGGATTTGGAGAGGATCTCCCTCAATATTGTAACTGATGAGATGGAGAAAGCATGGTTAGTGTGAAATTAGAGGTGTGTTTGAGGGAGCTTGGGGGACTGAACAAAACTTATTACAGGACATTTACGGAAATGACCAAAGACACAAGAAAGGAAGGATCAGGGAACAAGTATGTGAAGATGACAAGGAAGGAGGCTGGAGGGATCAGACATGACAGCAAGCATTTGGGCAGAACAATGACCTGGCTGGGCCCTGGCCCTGATCCATGCAGTCTGGCCTGCCTTCTTATTAAATCCTATCCTTAATTACCTTTGCTGGGTGCCAACCCCTGGAAGCCTCAAGGTATGAGCCAGGGCTGGTTGAGGGAGCCAGGACAGAGGACACTGGACAGGCTTTTCAAGAGATCCATGAGTGTGGAGTGCCTGTGAAGGCAGAGAATATGGAAGAGTATTGAGGGGAAAAAGGAGCCACAAAAGCAACAAGCAGCAAACATCGAGAAGATGTTAAACATTGAGAGATGTAAATACACTGGCAGAACAAAGCATCCTTAAAAATTATTATGTTTGTTCAAAGTTACATTGCAGTGATTTTTTTGGGTGCCACCCTGGAACTCTGCTGTCAGTAGATATTCCCAGTCACCCTCCCAAATGCTGTTTGTGAGGGTTCTGTATTTCAGACTTGAATTAAACTCAAAGGCTCAATTGCGACAAGAAAGAAATTGTGGTTTTTTAAATAATTACAGTTGCCAAGAGGTGCTTAGCACAGGCAGGCTACTGAGAAAGCAGATCCAATGAGTAAGATAAATTCAGAGGAACTGGGGTACCAGGAGAGAACTTGCAAGGAGCATAAGGGAACTCTATTCCAGCTACTTTCAGGCAGCCTTCATTTGTATCAACAGTGTGAGGAACAGCAGTACCAGCAGCTGCTGAGTTAGAAAGTTGTTTTTAATCAGTTTGAGGCCAACCATTTTCAACACTTTGAAACAAGGGAACCATGTTTGAAAACCAAAAGGCTGAGGTTCACCTGTCTGCAGAGATGGAAAAACAGCTGTCCATTCGGGTGCCTAAGTGAAAACCAAAACCATTTCTACCATCCTTCTGTGTGGAGCTTTGAGCTGCTGTGACTGAAAAGCAATCAAACAACCACAGCATCTCTGACAGAAAATACAGTTCCATAATGGATTCCAGTAAAGCCTGAAAAACAGAGCACAGCAGCCTGGAACACACAAGGCTGCACTCTTCCCATTTCATAGCTGTCAAACACAAAGCCTGAAAAGTAGGTCTTGGAACTTTGTTTTCCCTACTCTTGTGAGCTTCAACAGGCACAGAAAGAATTATTCTTCTTGTAAAAAGTCATGAAGAGAATTAGAATTAGACCAAGTAGATCAGGCTTAGGCAACTGCAAGCTAACAGAGAGCCACTCCCTGAGCTGCTGCAAATGGCCCTTAGGAGCAATACAGTATTCCCTGATAAGAGAAATACCAACAGGTAAGTACCTGGGAAAGTATTTTTTACAGAATTATTTTTTACTAAGACTCCAATCAGAAAAATAGCACATATTTTCATCTCTAGGCAATAAAACTTGAGATATGTGCTTCAGCTCTTTAAAATTCAGTAAAAAAAGTTTGTATAATGATGTTCAGAAGTTATTTATGTTGATAAGTTGTGTCACCCTTAAATGAAGCACAGCTTCCCCACATCACTTAGTTCTGACACTAAGTCCTTCCTAACTTAGCTTGAGACAAATGAGACCACAGTTCTCCACCTGCTTAAAACTGGGGTAGGACTATTTCAGTTACAGATGTATCAGATAAGAGAAAACACTGAGTTCTTTTGACAGCTCTTCTGAGTGAAAGATACATCCAGTGCACAGGCAGCAGAGGAAACCTTGTTGGAACTCAAATATCAGCTTCATGCTCAGCCAGCACAGCTGAACGCCAAAGCCCGGTCAGGAGGAACTGTAGCAGGCTGGAGGAGTGGTCACATTACCTTAAGTTTAGCATGAATTGGATGTCAAAGGACAATTATAACTGAAATCAAGACTGCCAGCACAAAACCTGCTGTTTCACTAATAAACTGAGAGAACTCCCAAATTCACCACAGTCTTGACAGAGGCCATTTCCGTAAACTGCTCTTACTAATTACAAGGCTTGTCTTTCTTTTTCATCCTGTGAATCTTTAAAATATCACAGTGACATTCAATCATTTTTACACTGACAATGCTGAAAAATGTAAGTAATACCTAGGTAATTTACTCTCTCAAAGTGGGTAGTATCTGTCAACTCATATTAAATGGAACATGAATTCCCATGTCCATGCAACTTATTTGAAGTGAAATATCCATGGACTGCATGAAATGCACACTCATGGTTTTAAAATACAGACAGAAACATCCAGCAATATTGCAAAAATATTGAGTAGTAGTCAGGTAAAATGAAGGAATCCCAGAATAATCTCTTATATGTGTTCCAGATTTTAAAAATCTTTCTTGAGGAAAAAAATCCACATTAAATCCTAAGAAGTTACCTGCAGTTTTAATTCCTTTTCTCAAATGCCCAGCTATGTCTTTTTTATAGACTTAGAAAATGGCTGTACCAAATGTTCTCATTTCTTCCGTTTGTGCTGATAGCAATAATTTCTGACAATAAATTTGAGCTGGCTATACAACACATCTATTTTTTGTGAAATTCTTTAAAGGCTCTTTTCATGACCACTGGAATATTTTGTTTTTAGGCATCTATAAAGTTAACAAAGTGAGATCCACTAAACTAAAGTTTAGACAAAGACAAAATAGATGGGTTATCTGGTAATTGTTCTGTTCCCACTATTTAACTGCAAAGTATGCAAAAAGTCCTGTATTAAAAAAGTACATCCAGAGCACTCAAGTGTGAAAGAAATCATAATGAAAGGCTGAAGTGACATTCGTTGTAGCCATGCTTTATTTCTCAACATTGCAGTAACTCTCTCTTTTTATGCCATTAATACCTTCCAGAAATATGTTTCATAGTTGCTTCAGAGTATCTTTCAGTCATTTCTTTAACAGAGCTCATATAAATCTAAGTTAAAACTTCCCAAGTAGTCTAAATAAGATGAGGAGATCATCACCAGTCATAGTCAATGAGGTCTTTTAAATATTGCACTCATACTACTTATTTTGCTTAGGAGCTGTAAGTCCTCTATTTCTTGAGTCTGCCTCCATCTTAGGTTCAAATAAATTAAGAATATCCATAAGATAGGTTGTCAAATATACACTGCTAATTAATGCCTAAAACTAAGTTTAGATACCCTTGTTCAACAGCCTAGAGATAGGAAATATTAAAATGAATTTTTATGTAACTATCACAAACACACCTACTGGTTTACATAACAACAATCTTTTCTACTGGTCAATTATCAAGGGTTTTGGCATCTCAAAGTATTTTAATTAAATCCCTTCATAAGTGAAGGTTAGTACAGTCCCTCATCTTCATTGAGTGTCTCAGTTGCTGCAGAGCTGATTTCACATTCAAAGAAAATGTTACATAGCTGCACTTAAAAGAAATTAATTGTGCCCACAAGAGCTTCTCTCTATTCAGAATAAAGGCTGTCCAAACTACAGGATCAGGATCAGGTGTGGATGTTGATAATGTGACGTTTGAAGTTAGATGAAATGAATTCTGCTCAGAAATCCCACTTATCATCTGTGTATGTCACTTCCCCCTAAATATTATCGAGCTTGGATTTCATGTTCTCCCTGGAGTTTTATACTCCATGTTCCCAACATCTGTGAATCCACAGTCCACCCCTGCAAAAAGGCATATGCTACTAAGTCAATTAATATTTCCTCTTTGAGTAATTAACATGGGCGCCTGTCAAAAATACTTTGGGGATAGACAGAAAGACATTTCTGTTGTGACTCTTTCTACCACAATAACCTATCCTTATATCTGTAGCTCAGCACTTGCCGTTGTTACTTGATTGTTCAGCGTCCTTCACTTAAATTCTTTGCTTGTTTTTCTTACTCTGCTCCAAGGAAACGTTAGTCAGTGCTCTGGCCTCACTTTGGCCCTTTGGAGTCTCATAACCCTTAGCTACACCAAGAGACTGTGGCTGACATTAACCAGTGTCAACAAGATTATATTGTTTGGAATAAAGATTGATGCCTGTATTTACAATGGATGTTATGTATTTAACTGAAATGTATGATGTCCATTTACCAGCTTTTCAGCTTTATGTCGAAGCATTTGTAACCAGGAAAATGAGGAATAATAAGACTTGTGGTTGTAGGAAGGAAAAAGTGAAGTTTCTGTGTCTACAGCTCAGGTTTCTTCAGCAGTTCCTTTTCTATCTAAGAATGACATGGATACTTAAGGTAAGCCAGACTACACAATTCATTTACTTACAGGTCTTAAGAAACAATATATGAAAACAAACCAACTAGAACAGTAACAATACTAATACACATAAACTTTCACTTTATGGACATCTTTGTCTTCACATTCTCTTTGCCTATTGTAATAATAGAATGTATTGTCCCTTCTCTGAAGTTTCTTAACAAATCCAGTTTCTGGCCAGCACTCTACCTACAAGTAGAACAAAAAGGATATAAAATCACCTGAATGTTCTCACATTAAATGATGTTTGTGCATGATATTGCAAGGAATATAGAATCTACTTCCATAGGAAACCCTCATTTGCTTCTAAACACTACTTTTCTATTAACTTGCTGAACTTTTAAAAACAGATTGAGAACAAGATGACAGAAACCAGTGTTCAAGTTTAGTATAAAGTCATGTGATTTGAAAAGCCTAGAAATAGGAATCTAAGGATATTTAACCGGCTAATTTAAAATTGGGCAAGTCAAAGTTTTTAAAACATCTTGTTTAGGAATATAACAATAGCATCAATAATATTGATGCTATTCAGTTTCTTTCAGATCCTTCTGACCATGAAAAATGTGCTTTTCATTAGAAATTTCATGAAAATAAAGTAAGCTGCAGACTATATCAGTCTCAAAGACAGTGGGATGAGTCCCACATAAACCCAGCATCACCCTGGTGCTCTTCACTGTTCCACAGCATAAAGCTTTCAATTAAAGGCTTCAGCATTTGCATGTTCAACAGCTTTATGGCTTTAGTAGCTCTTTCAGCTTGAGCATCTATGACTGCTTCTGATGAAACTAAACCTTAAAAATCAGATAATAAGCATCTTATTTCTCTTCCAGGCAGAGCTGACAACAGGATGTCAGACTAGAGCATTCTCTAATTGGAGAGCCTCAGAAGTGGTTTCATCACTCACTTTATGACTTCAGGCATACAGCTGTGTGATTTGCATTGTCTGTCTAAACATAACAGCCTTAATATTCATTCCACCTACATTAAATTGCATCTTTAGTAACAACTGCATTATAAAAACCTAATATGGAATAAACAAGACATTTCAGAACATATAAGTTGAAAGAGAATCACTGCCAGGCCCTGGCAGGCAGGAACAGAATGCACACTCACATTACGAGTCAGTGGTATTCTTTAACTTTCATCAGAGTTTAACTGCCAGTACTTGTGCCTTGCCATAAATCTTAAACACACAGATCCTACCACAATAATTATTTTCTTCTGCAATTACTGAAAATAATACCACAGCCTTTGCAGCAAAGCCCACAATAAAATAATAAACTGTATCTTATTATGCACATCAATGTTTTTTTTTTGCTGTGTTTCGAGTTAAATGGATGGGGAGTGAATTTCTTGGAACTTTCTGTGGTTTCTTATGTGCACAGGAAGTCAACATATTTTAAAAGTCTGTTCTTCATACTATATTTGCTGATTTGGAAGATAAATTACAGAGGTGTAATAAAATGACATATTGTTTGTTGTATTAACCTTTTGGTTGCTATTTTGAACATTGAGTAGCTGCTGGATATTCGGCCACTTATCAATAGCTCATTTGATGTGCTGGGGAGCATCACCACCAACTGTAGTGAGCAGAGGCACAAGTCCTTGGTGTTGACAAGGCAGCTGTGTCACAACTGCCTTTAGTACAGCTGGCATCAAATAGTTCCATTGTGGACATCATTTTGATAGAGGCCAAGTTCTGAGAGTGCACAAAACCTGACTGTGCTACCACACAATCCAACTGCAAACTGAAGCAATAGCAATGACACAGGACTGACTCCATGGATGATCAACAAACTTCCTGTCAGATCTACTGGTAGACTAGTGGGGAAGCTTCAGAGAATTCACTTTGAAATATTTCTTTCCTCAACACAGAATTATTCCTTTGGAGATCAGCTACATCTGTTCAAAGAGACCTGTGATGCTTCTAAATGCATCAGAGAAGGGGAGCAAAACACAGGCTGGGTATTGTTTCTGTTTCACTTCTGTGAAATGAAATATTCTACACAGTTAACAACAGCTCAAGAACTCAAGTCCGACCTGTGAGGAAACATAGTGTATCAGAACCTAGCTTAAATGAAAGGAAATAAGCAGCACCTCCATTTTTATTTAATCATTTTACATGAGAGAGAAGTTTAAAATAGTAACTCTTACAAAGTTCTACATCTTACCTCATCAACTTGTTTCACTTGTTTATATTCCACCTCATCTCTGTATCCAGCTTGCTGAAATCTGTATAAGTTCTCTACATTATCTGACCATATTTTGGCACGATGCATAGATTTTGGTTTGATGTCAGCTTTTGTCATGCCTTCAGAAACTTCAGACATATCCCTGAAATTAGACTTGAAAAAATTAAATAGAGAAGAGAGAAGCAAGTGATTTTGTTGGGGACATAGAGTTATGGGTAGAACAAAATTTTAAAATAAAGGGATTACAGAGTTCAAGGTCTGAGGTTAAAAAAGGAAAAAGTTATAAGCAGTTGGAATCAAATTAAATGCATTACTTGATCTCAAACAAACCCAACTCATCTGTGCTTCCATATATATCTCAACTCAAACTTCCTAAAATTTAATTGTGCATACTGATGTATTAAAAAAAAATATTAAATGCATTATTTTTGAATTTCACATCTTTGCAGTTGCTGTCCCCTTGGGGTGGGCAGGCAGATGTCCAGATTTTATTTTCTTGCTCCTGAGGTGACACCAAAACTGGGTCCAAACTGGGAATGACAGAATGAAGATCTGGGCTGTTACTGAAGAACAACGAACACTCAGGATGGAAGAGGAGGGGAAAGGAGAAATGCACAGACAGTGACATGGTCACAATGCCAATGACAGAGATAAGGTCTTCAGAGATAAACTGGATAAAGAGACAAGGCACACAGCCTGCCAGAATTCACTCCTTTCTACCTCTGCCCAATCAAACTGACTGCCACTGACTTCCTCCTCAAACAAAACCCCTTTGTTCAGCTTGCTGAGACATAGGAAACAGGTTAATCAACAGCTAAACCTGAAAAGAGCAGAAGTGGGACAAGCTGAAACTCAAGCTGAAAAGAAAATTAATTAAATAGGTAAATGAAAAAAAAAAAAAAAGCAAGCCCAAACAAACTAAAAACAACAGCAACAAAAAACCAATAAAAAAATCTGCAGACAGTGGATAGTCACCAGGGATGGATTTGAACTACATTAAAAAAAATAAATCATTTGACTTCTGCCTTATATCTGAATTTCATTGCATTTGCTTTCCTAAGCATATCTTATTTTGCTACACAAATAGAACTTTTGTTGCTTCTGCAAGCAAAACACACACATCACTATCATGCCTAGCAGGTATGATCAGAGATAAGTTGCTTCCCGGTTTTGAAATGTCACCAAGTTTCAGCTTCATAATTAGAAAAGCATCTCCAAGGAATGAATGCTTCTGAATTTCACAGTGAGAAGATGAATACAGTCTCCTTCCCTATGGGTATGATGCTGCCTCCAAACCTTGCTCAATTTCTTTACTTGGCAAGTTCCTATATCAACAGAGATTGAAAAGTTGAATGCTGAAAACTTATCAAATGCAACATGTCACTAGTCTTTTAGAAAAGCAGAAATTGGAAAAAAAAGTTTTGCACCACAGGATAAAAATCTTTGTGAAAATTATATCAAGAATTATTGTTACCATGATGTGGAACTAGCAGAAAGAAGTCTGCGCACCTGTCATCTGTTTGTATGACAGCCATCAGGAGACAAAGAAAGGGGCTTTCATCTCTTACCAAATACACTTTATTAGAGATCAATAAAAATATGTAAAAGGACATTTTTCTGGCAACACTAAACTATTCCTTGTATTCTTTTACCCGAGGTACTGCAGCATTTTGCAATTGAAAGCAGCCATTTACTAAAATAAAAAAGTAATTTTCCCACCTGGTTATGAGGTATCAAATAAAAATTAACAGGTTAAGCACAGATCCTTATTCTAAACTTAGGGTAGTCTTTGAGATATCTATCTCAATGTTAGGTTTTTTATTCCTGTGCTGCAAAGGGCTCTTTTGTAGCCATCACAAGATTTTTTAAGCTCTCTATTTGTTCATCCATGTTTGATGAGAACTGTTGTCAGTCAATATTGACTTTAGACAGTCAATATGATTAGCAATAACATTAGATCTTAATAAATGCTAAGCTATAATGAAATTAAGTGTCTTGTGATAACTTACATGTCATTAGTTTTAAGTTCTTCTTTACAGGATGTGCTGGATTCACCTAATGAATGTTTTTCTTCAAGACATGTGGGTAGGAGGTCTGGCTCTTCGTGAGTCACCATTAATTCACAATGCCTGTCCACAGGCGTCCCTGCCCAAAAAGTAAAGATCATATATTGAAAGTTCCAGCTTTGTGACTTCATATAATGAAAGCATCCCATTTTCGGGCTGCTATTTAAAAATTGTAGTCTTTGTCTATTGTGTGTCCAAGTTCCAGGCACAGAGCTGTTTTCTTTGTACCAGAGCAGAGGACAGCTGTACTCTAGCCAGGAATTCAGGGAAGAGATGAAAGACAACAGACAGATAAAGACAAATAAAGACAAGAGGATGGTAAGGAAATATTCAGTTTAATATTAACACGTTTCGTTTAAGGGGAATTTTTGAACAGTGAAGTGGATTTGATAAGATGACAATGTTTGCCTGCTCCTAATTTAGGGTAAACTGTGAGTGGTTTGGCCTTGGGAACACATTTTTTAATGTTAATCATAACACAATTATTGTGAAATCCTAACTAGTCTGGGCTCGCTGATGGTGGTTTCCTGAACAGTTACACAAGCTGTACAGATTTGTGGGGGGAGAATGTCTGCTCCCTTAGGGCACCTACTCAAGGACCATTTTCACTGCAACATGGGGTTACAGGAAAGGAAGGAAGCCATAAAATAATATATGGGGACTCAAACCTGAGCAGAAAATGAGGAAGGTGGTGATGAAAACCACACCTGGCTGGTTATGTTGGCATGTAAACAGTGTGAAAATGTTTATTCCAGCAAGATTATCTGATCAGGGACCTTGTCAGTTGGCAAATTTGGGGAAAAGGGGGAAACAAACAAAATATGCAGAGACAAGGACCTGACAAAAAGCCCTCAGATAAACCTCAACTCTAGCACTAATAGATGGGCTTTCAAGAAACTACAGGAATGACATCCAGGGAGATCAACCTGGACTTTGCACTGCTAAGACTTAACCAGGGCAACCTAGACTTGGAGAGGTGTGGGAATCCATGGAACTGTATAGATCTGTGAGGAATGTGCAGGAGCAATGAAAAACAAAGACAGGAATAGATATAAAGGAGTATAAAATAAGCCTGTCCTATGTAAAACAGGAGCAGTCAGTATTACATGCCCAGCTAAGCCCCACATCTGATCATCACAGACTGTCCTACCCTATTGTTGCTTCTTAAATTTTAACTGTCTCTCTGCACAAACTCTATTCCACACATGTGTGTGCTGCAAGGACAAAGTGCCAGTACGTGGTGAGACCTGTGTATGAGCAAAAACTGGTGCCAACTCCTGGCTGGGGGTATGGGTACCTCTGACCTATGCTATCTGGAGTAGGTGGGGGTACTAAATTTCCAGCCACTGGAGCAGGAACAGGATGTGTCCTGAAAAATCAGCTACTGGGGGAGGGCTGTCATGAGTGAGTGGCTCTATGTCAGCACTGTGGGTCACATCCTGTGTGCCTGGTGCTGGGGAGGAATGGTGTCTGGACCTTCACCCATTTTGCTATACCTAGGGTGCACACCCATATTCTCCAGCAAACTTGAAACTGAAGAGTAGGAGCAGACAAGAGGGCCCTGCTGCGTCCTCAGCCCGGACAAGGAGCTCCATGTCCCCAGGCAGGAGAGGCCCTGGGGCAGAGCAGCGGGAGGCTGTACTTCCTACATCACTTAACCCAAGTCAGCAAACACAGGACCTGCTCGGGGGTCTCAGCAGAGCCCGTAAGAGATCTCATAGGATGTCAAGGGACTGGAAAGGACCTTAAAGAGCATCTCGTCCCAACGCCCTGCCATGAGCAGGGGCACCTTCCGTTAGAGGAGGCTGGCCAAAGCCCCATCCAACCTGGCCTGGAACTGTCCCAGGGCTGGGGCAACACAACCTCACTGGGAAACCTGTCCCAGCGCCTCACTACCCGCACTGTAAAAAAAACTCTTCCCAATATCTAATCTAAGTTCCCCTCTTTCCAGTGGCTTCTACCTACTCCACCCGACAGTTCCTTGTACATTCCGAGGTGCTCGGGCAGACGTCCCGGCCTGCATCCGCAACTGCGCCGCGACCGTAACTTCACGCTGCTCCCACCGCCATGGCCACAACCCGCCCACGCAGCCCTTTAGGCGGCCCACCTCGGTTCAAGAGACACAAAACACGTTCAAGAGACACTTCTCACGAGGAGGGGAGCGGAGGCCGAGGGGCGATGGCGGCGCCTCTCACGGCTGTCCCCTCACGGCCGTCCCCTCACCACGCCACCGGTCGCCCGGCAACCGCCCGCCATGGCCTCTTTAAAAGGCCGTGCCCGCCCCTGATAGGGCGGCGCGGGGCGGGGTCGCCTCGGGATTGGCTGGGGGCCGGGCGGGCGGAAGCGCGCGCCGCCCGCCATGAGCCGGTTCGGGGGCCGCACACGCGAGTACCCGGCCGTGTCCATCGACCGCTTCGACCGCGACAACCTGCGCGCGCGCGCCTTCTTCCTGTCGCACTGCCACAAGGGTGAGGGTCCCGTGCCCGTCGTGTCCCCTTCCCTTCCCCCCGTGTGTCCCCCGACTGACCCTGTGCCTTTCTCCCCAGATCACATGAAGGGGCTGCGGGCGACCACCCTGAAGAGGAGGCTGGAGGGCAGGTACGGGCTGGTGGCGGGGCGGCCTCAGGGGAGGCGGCTGAACCTGAGCAAAACAGCGCGGGGAACTGCCATGGGTTACAAGTCCCAGGATGGGAATAGGACAGGGACACCTCCCACTAGACCAGGCTGCTCCAAGGCCCCGTACTACCCGGTCTCGAACTCTTCCAGGGATGAGGCATTACACTTCTCTGGGCAATTGTTTCGGTGCCTCACCACCCGCGCTTATTTTAAAAAAAACTTCGTCTTTGTATCTCATCTAGACCTGACCCCTTTCAATTTGATGCCAACCTTGCTTGTCCAAGCCATGTCCTTGCAGAAAAGTCCCTCTATAATTCTTGAAACCCCCCTTTAAATATCAAACGGTAGCAGTAATGTCCCCCCAGAATTTTTTTCTTCTCTAAGCTGAAGAGCCCCTGTCTTCAAAGGGGGGGGTGCTCCAGCCCTCTGAGCATCTTTGAGGCCTCCTCTGGACCTGCTCCAACAGGTCCCTGTCCTTCCTGTGCTGGGGTCCCCAGAGCTGGATGCAGCACCACACGTGGGCTCTCACAGCAGTGGAGCAGAGGGACAGAGTCCCCTGCCCTGTCCTGCTGCCCACAGTGCTGGGGATGCAGCCCAGGATAAGATTGGCTTTCTGGGCTGCAAATGCACACTGCTGGCTCATGTCCAGTCTCTCATCCACCAGTACCACTAAGTCTTTTGCAGGGCTGCTATTAACTCATTTATCCCTCAGTCTGTTTTGATACCAGGAGTTGGAAGTGTTGGAGAGAGACAGTGTTGTGCCTGTGCAGTGAAGGGGCCAGCTGTGCTTTCTGAGGTGTATAAGCAAGGAGGTAGCCAGCAGTTTGGGGGAGACAGTTATTCCCCTCTGGCCAGCATCTGTGAGACTTTTCTGGGTACTGTGTCCAGCCCTGGGCTCCCCTGGATGATAAATTGATAGGTGTTTTGGTCAGCATCACCACACTGGTCTGGGACCAGGACCATGTGATGTGTGAGGAGAGACTGAGAGCTGGATGTCTTCAGCCTTAGGAGACAATCATGTATCACTGTTTGCAGGTAGGGGTAGAGGAGATGGAGCCAGACTTTTCATGGAAGTGCATAAAGAAAAGGCAAGGGACACCTTTTTCACTGTGAGGATGATCAAATGTGGCAATGGGCCCAGGGAGGTTGTGGACCAGTTCCTAGGCTCTCTTTGATTTATTAGAGTAGATACTGCATCTCCTCTGATGCAAGCAGAGAATCTCTCTTTGCTCATCTGGTCTCTGTGCGTAAGCTCAAGCTTCAGAAGGAGTATTCTGTGCTCTGCTGTGTGCTGCCTGTCCTAAATGCCTGTTTCAGGGGTGTGTGCAGGGGTAGAGAAACAAGCAGATAGATCATGACCATGTACCACACACTGCATTTGTGTCTGCACAAAACTATGCAGCATGGGCACACAGGACCAGCTTTGGATTTGCTGTGCTGAAGAGAAGCCTGCAGGCTTCCAGCTCTGCAGCTCTCCTCACATGACAGGTTTCTGAGTGCAGGGTTTGATGTACTGGGTGCCAGGTGCTGATGTGTTGTTAGACTGTTCCTCATGTCTGCTTTAAAAAACACTTATCTGTGTTTTTTGTCTCCTCACAGCTTGAAAGTTAAACTATACTGCTCACCAGTTACTAAGGAATTGTTGTTGACTAACTGGAAATACAAGTTTTGGGAGAATCATATTGTGAGTTTGTGTTTATTTTGAAAATAGCACTTTCCAAGCAGTGATTCTCAGAAAGAAGCAGCTCCCTGTTCCTCAGGAGTGTCTAAATATTGGTGTTGATATTGTTGATAGTGTTTCAGGGCTTATGTACTTCCAACATTGTTTGTGCCTTTCCTGCTGCTTGCTATGTGGGATTGGTTTATTGCTGTTGTTTAATTATTTTTCCCCCCCCAAAATTTTTCCTTTTCTCTCAACTTCACCTTTACACAGTCTTCATCTTTATACTGATCATTTGTAGATTTGAATTTGTATTTATTTCCTTACCTTGCTTGTGTCTCTTTGCTTCTGTCCTTTCTTTCTCTTTCTCTTCATTTAAAGTCTCTTATTGCTTGAAGTGTATATAATCTGAAGTTACATAATTTTCCTTTTGCTTTTTGGAAAATGGGCTATAACATGAAGAAGCTTTAGTATGAAATCACTGAAAACCTTAATAAATTTACATGATTTTCAGTGTTTGGAGCCAGACTGCAAGGGATCAGTATTATGTACAAGTGTAACTTGAAGTTACTTCCTTCCCTTTGCAGATGCAGGCATTATGAAATTGAACATGAGTTTTTTTACAGAAATAAAGATAATTCTCTCTGCACAAACACAGGAATATGTGCTCCCAGTGATTTGTGGGCTGTGCTTCTGGTAATAGGAGGCAATGGGAAGTGGATACCACAGAGCTATCCTAGCAAGATCCACTGCTGTGAGACTGGGATGTTTTGGGCTTTGCAGTCTTCCAAAAATAAGGCATGTGATCCATCCAGAGGAACAAGAGCTGTTGCTGATAGAAGTCCAACATGCTCTAACTTTTTCAGGCAGGCGCCCCTTTGTTGAGGTATCACTATTTAATTTTTAGATAACTTTTAGGAAAATTTATTCCACTGGAAATGGAAATTTATGACTTGCTATGAGAAAATAAGTTTAATTTTACAGGCTTAGCATTAGCCATGGTGAGTGCTAGAGATGTCTACATAATAAATACCTAGACATAAACATGAAACAGAATGTTCAGTAAATCCTGTAATGCAATTAATCATTTTATTGCAGGTTGCATTGGAAGTTGAAACTCCAACTCAGATTTCTTTGGAAGATGAAATATCTGGTGAGGTAAGTTACAGGGAAAAAAGATTCATGTGTCAGTCATGGGCAGTAATGCTGTTTACATGAGTACAGGAAACACAGCTGCAGCTTCTGAAGTGCACAATCTATTTTTAAAATGTATGTGCCCCTCCTCTCTTGTAGTGACAGAAAAAGGGGTGATAGTTTTAAACTAAAAAAGGGTTGATTCAGACTAGATATAAGGAAGAAGCATTTTACAATGAGGATGGTGAAACCGAGAGATGGCAACACTCTGGTTGCCCGGAGAGGTGGGGGATGCAACATCCCTGGAAACATTCAAGGTTGGGATGAAGCTCTGAACAGTCTGATCTATTTGAAGATGTCCTTGCTTATTGCAGGGGAGTTGGACTGAATGAACGTAAAGGTCCCTTCCAACCCAAACTATTCTGTGATTCTGTATTTGCTCACCAGGAATCAAGGAAGTAGAACTGTCTACTGTCCACCTTTATAAGCACCATACAATACTTGGTCCTCTCTTCTGCCATGACAGGATGTTGGTTGTTCTTTACAGCTTGTTACAGTCTGAAGAGACTCTCTGGTTTTAAAAGCAATGCTAAATGCTGCAGGAGGCTGTGGGGAGTAATACATTGCTCTCACTTTTGCCAACAAAAATACTGGTAGTACCTACTACAGTCTGAAAATAATGCTAACCCCTCTCTTCCAGAAAGAAGATATAGTGGTGACACTTCTGCCAGCTGGTCACTGTCCAGGTTCAGTCATGTATGTCCTTTCAATACTTTAAATGTTTCACCACCTGGCATTTAATGAAGATTTTGACCCAAGTGTTGCTGTCTGCAGGTTTCTGTTTGAAGGTGAGAATGGCACTGTGTTGTACACAGGGGATTTCAGGCTTGCAAAAGGAGAAGCAGCCAGAATGGAGCTTTTGCATTCAGGGACCAGGTGAGCTATTTGTGGGATATAGAAAGAACAGATGATCATATGGCATGGACAATTTGGCTAGGAATTCATTATTTTTTTCCTCATTTTTATTCTGGATTAAATATAATTGCAGTACTGCAGTTACAAGTCCCCTCTGACATATTCTTTGTAATCAAGAGGTAGAATTATCTCCTTTTGAAGAGAGAGGAAGTGGTAGTTAGCACTGTGCTGCAATGTTTACTCTGATACTACATTTCTATCCTCCAGGGTAAAAGACATCCAGAGTGTGTATTTGGACACTACTTTTTGTGATCCCAAATTTTATCACATACCAAGCCGGGTAAGTCTGATAAATTGTTAGAAGAAAGGCCTTAAAACTGTTAATTAATTAACTACCCCTTTGTTAGGTAAGTCTTGTAAGGCAATGCCATTTTGCATTACTAAATCACAGAACTTTGGCTGTATTTTCCAAGATAACTGACAGCATTTTCTACACTTTTCAGGAGGAATGTTTAAATGGGATCTTGGAGTTAGTGCGAAGCTGGACCTCACTGTCTCGTAATCATGTTGTGTGGCTGAACTGTAAAGCTGCTTATGGATATGAATATTTGTTCATAAACCTCAGTGAGGAACTCGGAATCAAGGTAATGTTTCTCTAATTGTTGCTTTAGAACAGACCCTCAGTAATAATTGTGGCCAACACCGAGCTGGCAATGGCTGTTCAGAGGTCTGCTCTAGGTCACAGTTATGCCTATTTCATTAATTTCCCTTAAAAAGTGCAGTTGTGCTCAAAATGAGGTAAGTAGTTGACTTCAGTCTGGAACATCTGGACTTTCCAAAGAGAAGTTAATTCCCAGTTTTCAAGCTCAGTGTTTACCCTAGTTCCCTTTTATTTTGTGAATGATAAAAGTCATTTGCATATGACATTAATAGTTAATATATATATTCTGGTTTTCTCATGAGTATTCATCCTTCTTCAGTATAGGTGGTATGTTCTACTTGTTCTAGATGTCCAAGTTTTGGCTGATACCTCTCTGCTTGGACATTATTTGGAGTAATAATTTAAATGCCTGCCAGCATTTAGGGAGAGCAGAATCACATCTATATATCTGCTCCAGCTGCAGTCTGGCAAACACATTGAACTAATAAAGAGTAAACTCTGGCTTTCTCTAGGTGCACATGAACAAACTTGATATGTTCAGGAACATGCCAGAAATCCTGTGCCATGTTACCACAGACCAACACACGCAGATTCATGCCTGTCGACATCCTCGGGTGCGTTTGTTCAGCAAAGCCTCCCCTAACTTTGCTGTGAAAGTGTGGTTATAGGTGCAGATGTTTGGGACCTGTTGGGTTAGTGAACACTGGTGAAATCATGATTTTATGTAAAGCAGAGTGAAAACCTTAGTAGGTTGAAGTTCTTTGGTTTTGTTTTTTTTTTTTAAAGCAAAAAAAGGGAAAACATATTAGCTTATGCTAGAAGTAATTTAATTGTATTTGAAGCCTGAAAATTGTGTTTTTAAGTGAAGTGAGACAAGCAGTAGAGTAAATCAATCCAGTATTACCCATTTCAGTGTATCAAAGGCAGCTCAGATGGTGCCTGCTGCAGGTACGCACTGTGTGTTTTTAGCATGTGGCCATCAACATTTCCAGGATGTCTGTCAGGCTGGAGGCTCCAGCTTGGAGGAACACAGGTAGAACCTGAGATGGCACATCTCTCTGACTGATTTGCTTTGCCAGCTGCACTAAAGAACCAAGGTGTGACAGGGTCTTTCAGGAGAATTAGAAGTGAGAGAGGAACTTGGTTTGGCTGGATACTATGCTGCTTAATTTCTGGGTAAAAAAGGTCACTGTTGAACTTAATTTTGTATCCATTGGACAGGATGATGACTGCTTCCGAGGGAACAGACTGCCCTGTGGGATGACTTGCCTCAATGGATCTCCCCTGCACATAATCAGCATCAAACCCTCCACAATGTGGTTTGGGGAAAGGAAAAAGAAAACAAATGTGATAGTGAGGTGAGCATTTGGGCCACACAGAACCTGTTGTTTCAGGTTTGTATCTTGCCTGATATGTGTATAATTGAATCTCAGAATGGACTAGAAGAGTAGCTTATGCTGGTCTGTTGACCATGGATGAAGAGCAGTTGCCTAATTTCTGTGCCTCATGTTTTTTTAGGACTGGGGAGAGAACGTACAGAGCTTGTTTCTCTTTCCACTCTTCATACAGCGAGGTTTGTATATTTCTAGTACTGAGGATACATTGATTAAGAAAATGTAAGAGTTTTGATTATTCTAGAGTGGATGACATGACAAGTCATAATAAGAAAAAATTCTGTCAGAAATGAGACATAAGGAAATAGGAAGTTCTGAATGCTGAAGACAGAGAAATCGGTTTTAATATAGCTGCAGAGGAACTTGTTATGATTACAAGCCTATTTCTTGTTCTCTGGTCTCAATGTATAGGTCACTTCTACATTTGTTTTGACTGTCTTTCTATTTTAGGTTATTTTGTAACCATGTAATGCTTAAAGCATGGAGTTTTAGTTTACAATACGTTGTTTATCTGCCATGACTCAGATTTGGGTGGGTTTGCCTTCTTTTCTCAGCCTACACATTTAAACTGAATTTTCATACATCCTCACTGCTGCTCTTGCCCCTTTTCCTGTGTTAAAAGACTAAAATGAAATTGATCATGGCAGCATCCTCCCCACAATCACACACTTTAATTTAACATGACTTGATACAGCTCTAAAAACACTACTTTCTCCTAAGAAACTGAACTGAAACTGGATCAGTGCTAACAATGAACTGTCACCAAGTCTTGCACTACAAAGTGGAGAAAGGCAGTACTGTTTTTAAGATCCTGATTAAGTTTAAATTTGCTGTGCCATGCAGAATTTTAGATGGAGATCCCAGTGTGGAATTTTCTGGTGAAATGTGGGGGGTAGTGTAACTAACACTTCTACCTTCACATGCAAAAATAGATGGGTCCTTCTCTTGGTTTGAGACAATTTGAAGGAGAACACTCTGGAATGAGTTGTCTCTCTTTTCAGGTTTAACTAATCTATTTCTGCCAATAAGGAATGAACAGGACTAGGTAGAAATAAAAAAAATAACAGTTTCCTAACAAGTGCAACAGCAACAGGCAAAAAATAACAGTAGATAACTGCTAGATACAAAATTGCAATAACATTATGGGTCACCCCCGGACAGTCCTGCTGTCTGTACATATAGCAGTGTAATCTGCAACCTGCAAGTGTTCTCAGTGCTCAGCACTGAAAAAGCCTCAGCAGGAGCACCCCAAATCAGACACAGTTCTTCAAGAAATTTACTGGAGATCATCTAGAAGACAACAGAGTAAGGCTTAGAAAAAACAGTGTGTTTTGTCCTAATGGGCTTTTATGGGTACTTTTGGAGAGACTTTTGTAATAGGAAAGGAATGCCTGAGCGGCATAACTGGAGACTTGTACTCCAATAAGGAAAATGTCTGTTTGAAAACATAGCAGCAGTAAGGACAAGGAAGCACTGGATCACAGTGCAGGTCACCCAGCCTTTTCTTTCAGAGACAGTGATGGTCTGTGTAAAAATTGATAATTGCAGTGAGGTGTTGGGTGAGGCTGAGTTCTCAGCATCCTTTCAGGCCTGTTTCTTTGTTCCAGAGATACCCACTTTGGATGTGCTTGTATCAGTGCTGCCTTTAAGTGATATTCTTAACTGTTAATGTAATTTGTTACGTTGCTTCTTCTTTTCTGGAATTCAGATCAAGGATTTCCTGAGGTATATCTGTCCTGTGAATGTGTATCCCAGTGTACTGCCAGTGGGTGGGACAGAGGACAAAGTTATGGAGATGTAAGTGACAAGTGGCTGCTGGAGGGATGTGGTCCAAATTTTGTTCCTGTAAGGACAATGCACCTCCTGAATCCCAGCCTCTTCAGGAGGGCCATTGCCTTTTGCTTTACTTGTCTGATAATTCAATGTTTTTTCTGTATTCAGTCCTACAGACTTGGGCTTTCTGAAGCACATGTTGAGCTGAGTCTCAGAGTTTGTATTCTACTTCCATCTGTGTGTAGAGGCTTTTCTGCTGGTAAACTCCGGGAGGAAGCTGAATACAAATTCACCTTGCTGTGTTCTGTGACCCATTTCTATTTGTATTTGCTACTTCTGAGAAGTTTCTTTTAAAGATGGTTTCTCTGGGAACTTGAACTCCTCCCCTGCACAGCATTAGAGAGGCCAGTTCTCCTGCACTGCTGTAGATGTTGGCAGCTTAAAAAGAACCCTCAGGGAGCAGGAGAGCTGTGGTGTTTCTTAGTCTGGACAGAACAAAGATTCCTGTTCCTTTTTCCTTCCCTACTTAGTAAGAAAGGAAACTTCCACTTAACAATCATTGAATAAAGCTGTAGTCAGATTTTGAACCCTGTCAGCTTGCAGTCTGTAAGGAAGGAACTACAAGACAGTTTCCAAAAAATGTACATGTTTTAAGGTAGAAATATGTCCTTTCAATATATTTACCTTTCAGCTACTGAAGCTCACTAGTGAATCAAGGACTTTGCCCTAGGTATTGCTGCCTTTGCTTTAACATTTTTGCTGCAGTGCCTGTGAAAGGCATGGAGCAGTTACCCAGAACAAGTTAAAGGATTTACTTTTGCTCCTGAAAGCATCTGCTGAGTTCTAGATATTAACTGCTCTTTTCATTCCCTTCAGATTAAAGCCATTATGCAGGTCATACAGGAGAATCATGGAACCCAGGTACAAGCCCTTAGGAACACTGAAGAGAGCCCACAAAAGAGAATTACCAGATACAGGTAAAGGTGATGCTGCTGCACCTTAAATGGAAGTCTGAGACTAAGCAGAGGTGCCAAAAGCTTTGGTGTTCACCACAGTCTGTCTGTGTGTTCAAAGCAACAGCTGGAAAGAAGAAATAGAAATTATGTCAACTCAGTATTAGGAGGGTGAGAGAGCACTAATTGTGTAAAAACACACTTGTTTGCAGTCTTATAATGTACTTAATGCTCAACAGCCCTGTAAGTTTTTGGATGGAGTTCCCTCAGTCCCTGGTCAGCCCTAGGAAAGCTTGTTTTAACTGTCTCTGTGAGGCACTGTGCTAGACAAGGCAAGGCAAACACTGTCAATATCATCCTGTAAAATCTCCAGCTGGGTTAAAGAACATTTTCCTTGATGTTTCCTAATTCCTAAATTAATTTTTATTAAGACTTTGCTGTCAAGATTTTAGCAGAGATGTGGACTTTTCTTAGTGATTTTCTGTTTGTTTCTTGCCAGATGAAGATGATCTCTTTGATTCAGAATTAATTTCTACAGGGCCTAAGATTCCAAAACAGCAGAGACGAGAGAGCAGGCCCTCCAGCACAGGACAGTATGAAAATTCTGAAGGAAACATTAATGAAAGCACAGAAAGCTACACAACTTACACCTCTCTCAAGGTAGACTTCATGGATTGTGAGGAATCAAATGATGATGATGATGAAGATGATGAAGAAGAATCTGAAAAAAATACAGTTCAGTTTCTTTCCCATGAGACAGATGCCACTTCCACAGCCAATTTCAATGGAGTAAGTAGTGACCATCAGTCTAATGCCAATGTCCCCTGCTGGGATGAATTTTTTATGGGTAATAAACTAGAGGAAAGCTCTGAAAATGAGGACAACATCCCATCCTCAGCAGATGCTGGGGGGTCCCAGTCACTCTTCAGTGACTCAGATGGAGTAAGTGACTCGACACACATCTCCTCCCAAAATTCTTCTCAGTCAACACACATATCAGAGCAGGGGAGCCAGGGCTGGGATAGCCAAATGGATACAGTGCTCATCACCTCCCAGGAGAGAAGTGCCCTGGACCTCAGCAAAGGTGGGAGCAGAGCAGTGGTTCCTGTGCTGCAGGAGAGTCCTAAGGACACTCAGCTGGACAGCAGCAGGGGGAAGCCACAAGGTCAGAACAGACCTTGTGGCCATGGTGGTGCCTGTGGCTTGAAAAGCAAAGACTGTGAGAAAGCTGCAGAAGATGGTGCTGCCCATGTTCAGGATGTGCTGGTGGAAATAAGTGACAGATGCAGGATTCCTGATCTAGAGCTGAAGAAGGACTCCCAGAGTTCCTCTGACTTTGAAATTCCCTTGACTCCTGATGCTGAAGCGCCTCAGCCAGATAAACTGCACCATTTATACAGGAAGCTTGCAGCAGGTGAAAACATAATCAGTGAGAAAAAAGTCTCCTGAGAACGGGTATAACCAATTACCTTGTGGTAATACCCAGCATATCTATTACTACCTGAATTATTTTTCTCTTTCCTGTGGGTTACCGTCTGCAGCTATGCTGAGTCACACTTTATTCAGACTGTCAGGACTAGGTATTTGCAGCCTGTGTACCTTTATTGTTCCTTCCATGAAGTACTGAAAAGGAAGTATTCAAAAAGTATTCCCAGGAGGGACAGTGAAAGCCTTTTACCTCCCAAGGTTCAATTCTCCAGGACTGTAAGTAGACAAAAAATGGACCAGACAAAACTAAGGGTAGGACACTAAATGAAATTTAGTGTTTATAATGTGCTCTAAGAGTTTGCCTTTATAATGTGATCTCAGGTTTTAATAAAATAGCACACTATTAACTGTGGAGAGGATCACCTAAGAATGACCATGCAAACAAGGCAGTTGTAATTTGGCTTTAATCACTATTACCATTGTTCATCATTATTATAAGAATTTAATCAGTACCTGCTGCAGTTATTTTTAAAAATAACTGCAGAACAGACTAGAGAATTACTGAGGTTGTGAGGGGGTTTTAATTTGTTTTCAATCAAATTGCTAATTTCAAAAATCTCTCTTTACACTGAGCTTTAACTCCTGAGTTAGGTACTGTGGACTGCTGTGTTTCACCTCCAACTCTTTGCAAACCACTTGTCATCACTTCCTCTGTGTTCTGAATTGTTCTTCAGAAAAACTTAAAATCATGTGGGTTCCTAAGTTACCCTGTTCTGCTCTGGCAGGTAACTCAGCCACAGAAGGCAACCTGGTATCCCAGACAGGCTCTTGTACGACAAAACTTCACTTCCTCTGCAACATTCCATAGACTTCACTGTTTTAAATCAAGATGATATATTCTGCATGCATGTGTGCCATCATAACTCTCTGCCAAAATTCTTAGCTTCTAACATCAAAATGTAATTTAGTTTTTTTCTAAACTGGAATGCCTATGCAATATCCAAACCACAGAAGTCATCTAAAAATCCCTGAGGTTTTCCACCCATGGTCTTAAATCCCAAAGAATTAAACATACTTTAGCACATCTCTCCCCTCTGAGTGTGCCTTCAGCTGTTGTGCCGTGTTTAGTGACATGTGAATGTTAAACCAACCAGCATTCTGCCACAGGGAGCAGAGGCAGGAGGGACAGAGCATTGCCAGAATCTATGTATCATTTTAAGGATATTCAAGATCCATGTATTTTTCCACTGTTATCTTTCCTGCTGTTTGTGGGATTTATTAACCTAATTTCCAAACGTGATCTACCAACTTTGGGGGTTTTTTAGCAAGCCTGAGTGAGTGGAACTTCTGTTGGACCTACCTCTGTGAATAAAGTCAGACAAAACAGAACCTCTTTTGTTGGCTCATTTCATATCTGAAATGTGCATGTAAGTTCGGGGCTGCCTTTAACAGGATGCTCAAATATACAGGAATCCAGTTCAGACAAGTGTAAATTTATACCAGTTCTCAGCAGCCCTAAACACATCATTTCCTCATGGTCCCCTTCTTCTGGAGTCTTTACAGTCCTAGAAAACTTGGGTACAGACCAGGAATTAAGAGGTTGCAGTCTTAAGGCAAATTCTACTGCTACAACTAATTTTGACAGGCTAACTTTTCTTTTTAAAAATGACAACAACAAGAGAAAAACTAAATTTAATTTATTTTATCAAAAACTATAGGAAGATAGCAATACTAGAGATGACACAGTATGAAAAGAAAATTCCTGAGCTTACAAACTGCATATTCTAATACAGTTCCTAAAACATACATTAAAATAACCAAAGTATTGACTTAACTTGGAGATTAAATAAATAGAAATAGCTTTTCTTACAGGTGATCTTGCAGCTTTAGTTTTGCTACCAAAAAATAAAAATAAAACCAAACAAAAAAAGAACAGCTGGAGGACAGGTCACAGGTCACCAGCCTCCAAGAAGTGCATACACATGACTGAACTGGTAACCATGAGGGTGCCAACAGACCACAAAGCAAAATAAAGGAGAAGCTGGGCTGGTTTAGCTTCCCTATGAAATTGAAAACAGCTTTTTCTCCATTTTCAGTCTGGCAATTTTCTGCCAAACTCATAAAACCAATAAAAGGATTTTTAAAAGTAACACAGTGTCCCATTAAGCTAATTCAATAACTGCAATCCAAATACACTGTGGATATATAAATATAAAATACTGTTCAAGGCTCTTATGTTGGAAACTGGATCCATGGATTTCCTTCAAATAAATAAAAAATACCGCTACCTCCCAGAACGTAAATTAATGGTTCTTTATTTATGGCAGAAGATAACACACATATCCTTAACAAACAGCAGCGTTATTCCAGTGCTGGTGATAACATTCTCTGCCTTTGGAAAAGGCAGACACTGCACCCCAGTACAACTGCAACCTTCTAAAATGCATCTACTTGCAATATTTAAATCAAACTGGGCATGGGGAGAGACAGAGCCTGGGGCCAGCCCTGTGCCCCTGGCACAGGCAAGGCTGAAGGAAGGAATCCATCTCTTGCCGCAGCTGCTCCATCCTGCAGGGACAGCACAGGCTGCAGCGGATTAAGGAGCTGGAGACTGCAGATTCCATCCACATGGAATGCACTGCTCATTTGAGCTACATGCAAGAGAAAGTACTAATGACTCCAAATGATGCAAGATCATCTAGAGTTTGCTGACATTAAAGCTCCACATTCCACTTAAAACTTTAAATAAAATAAAAAAAAATCATTAGAGATATGGCATGTTAAAAACTGACAAGATTCAGCATATATCAACTGTGGATACAGGTGAGCCTGATCGCATCAAATACTTTTAAATCTAAGCAAACTTTCTCCTATTCCTTAAAGAATATAAAGTCTCTGTTTCAACATGTATCTCTGTATGGTAGATTACAAAATTCACACAGCATTTCCAGTGGCCCATGCTCTTCACCAAAAGTGTAAAACTGATTCTGGCTAGTAGCATATAAAATGTCATTTGCTATGAAAGAGACAGATCTTCAGTACAAATGCAACTGTGCTTCTTAAGGAACAACCTCGAAATGCTCATTTTGAAGTGCTAGTAATTACCATGAAATTTAAGGCATTTTCTAACAAATTAAGTAAACAGTTACATGCTGGGTACTTGACTTCATTCACCTGAGCCAACAGCTGTGCACCTTATAAAGGTAACTAGCTGACCTATAATACATAGCCAGCATCCAGCCATGGAGCATCCATTTATGGAGCAACATTACTCTGCCTGACCCTGTCAACATTTACATGACTGGTAAGCAATCTGCATGTTTCACAAGCTTTGAATCCATGAGAAAAAAACACGTGGATCATCGCAAGAGCACGGACCTTGGCTGTAAATCCACTCATCACCCACCTCACCTGCTCTTCAGTGGTTCTGAAGCCAAGCAAAACTTAGCCTATGTTATGAATAGATTGAGACAACTTTAAGATGATAAGGAAAAAAGAAAAGATGACTCAGGCAGCTGAAGAACAGCATATTTCTCAGCCTTTACATTCAAGAACATCTTACAAATGTCTACAGCAAATGGGTATACTCACCCCTAGTCTAACTTCACTGAAGTTAACATTTTTGCAACCAGAAAATACAGGCCTAGTATCTTAGAAGTCTGTCACTAGGTAAAAAAAGACACAGTATGTAAAAATTTAATCAAAACGACTTGTGAATATACATTAATGCCAGGGCTCTTTTGCAGGGCTCTAAGAGATAGCAGAGCATATCTCCACAATGCATTGGCCTTGTTAGACAAAGGGCTACTCTCCTTAACCTTTTGCTATCTATTTCCAAACTGTAGCCAGCAACTTGTTTCAGCCATGACTGCCAAATTTCTGCAATGAAAATAAGCAGTGAATGTTACTTCTGACAATTCCATATTTACAAATGCTCTGTGAAACTGCAGTCCTCCTATAGAATCCTAACTAAAAATCAGAGCATAACAACTGAAAACCTTCTACATAACATCAGCTACAAAGTTCAAGTTCTACACTTGGGGTCTGTTAATTCCAGTTACAGAAACAATTAGGCTGGAAAAGGCTTTTGAGATCATCATGTCCAACCTATGACCGAACACCACTTTGTCAACCAGACCATGGCACTGCGTGCCACATCCATGCTTTTCTAAACACCTTCAGGATGCTCCTCTCTGAGCAGCCCCTTCCAACGTCCAATCACCGATTCTGTGAAGAAATTTTTCCTTATGTCCAACCTAACTACCCCCACCCCTAGCACAGCGTGAGACTATGTCTCCTTGTCCTCTTGCTGTTTTGCTGGGAGACTGACCCTCACCTGGCTATACCCTCCTGTCAGAGTTGGAGAGAGAGATAAAGTCAGCCCTGAGCCTCCTGTTCTCCAGGTAAATGATGGAGTGGCTTGGAGTGGCATCTACCAGCTCCCTCATCACCCTAGGATGGATCCCATCTGGTGTCATGCACTTATGAGCATCTAAGTGACTCAGTAGGTCTCTAACCGCTTCCTCCTGGATTACAGGGGGACAATTCTACTCCCTATCCCCGTCTACAGCTCAGGAGGCCAGTTGTCCTGAGGACAGATCAACTGTCTTAATGTTGAACCCTGAGGCAAGGAAGGTGTTAAGTACCTTAGCCCTTTCCTCATCTTTGGTAATCATATTCCCCCACGGTGTCCAATAAAGAATGGAGGTTTTCCTTGCCCCTTCTTTTGCTATTAATGTATTTACAAAAATATTTTTTACTATCTTTTAAAGAAGTGGCCAGGTTAAGTTTTAATTGACCTTTGGCCTCTCTAATTTTCTTTCTGCAATTACTTCCGTTGCATGGAGTTCCATGGACATTTTACAATTTGCATTCCTGTGAACCTTTATTTACACACTGGCTCTCCTTAATCCCTAACCCTGGTGCCATAAATGTTATTGCTAAGATCTTCAAGCTTTTCTTTTTATAACATAAAAGCAAAAGAACTGTCAACTCAGAATTCAAATCAAATGTCCCCTTACTTCTCAAGGTACAGAAAACACATAGCATCACTTCATCCCAGTGGAATCAGCTCCTGAAGGCCTATGGCTGAAAGCCCACACTCGAATGTCTGTGACAATGAACAGGAGCCATCAGTGCCCTGGCAGCCAGGAGAGCCAACCCTGTCCTGGGGACATCAGGCACAGCATCGGCAGCTGGACAAGGGAGGGGACTGTCCTGCTCTCCTCTGCACTGGGGTTGCCTCATCTCAAGAGCTGGGGGCAGTTTTGGGCACCACAGCATAAAAAAAAAAAGACATTGAACCATTAGAGAGCACCCAAAGGAGGCCACGAGAATGGTGATGGGTCTGAGGGGAAACCTTATGAGGAGCAGCTGAGGTCACTTGGTCTGTTCAGCCTGAAGAAGATGAGACTGAGGGGAGACTTCATTGAGCTCTTCAACATCCTCACAAGGGGAAGCAGAGGGGCAGGTACCGACCTGTTCACTCTGATAAGTAGTGACAGGACTTGAGGAAACAGCCTGAAGCTGAGCCAAAGGGGATTTATATTAGATATTAGGAAAAGGTTCTTCACCCAGAGGGTGGCTGGGCACTGGGAACAGGCTCCCCAGTGCACCAGGTCACAGAACCGAGCCTGGCAGAGTTCAAGAAGTGTTTGGACAATGCTCTCAGGCACAGGGTGTGGGGACATTCTTGGGGATGTCCTGCGCAGGACTAAGAGTTGGACACAATGACCCTTGAGGGTCCCTTCCAATCTGACTTATTCTATGGTTCTAGGAATATTCAAATCAAGGTACATTTTTGAGTTTTCTTTGCATACATTTTACGGTTTCCTAAACAACTGCTCTAGAAAAATGACATTTTAATCCCCGTTATCAGTTTTGTATTGGCTTGAAACACTACAATCTCTTTCTTTGGCCAATGCCACTTCAATTACAAACACAGTACCTTGTTTTCACCATCCTTATTTAGATGTAAGAATACTTGAACATATGTGTGAAAGAAGAGTCTTCTTAAAACACGTTAAAAAAAGAACAAAATATTTGTGACTTTGGATACCCGAACTCAATTGAGATAACCTCTGCAACACACAGCTCCACATTTACAGACAGTTCTGATCCTCTTTTTGGATGGGCTAAGACCTTCAGCAGAGTCTGAAGTCAGATCTATTGAACCTGCAAAACAGATGAACACAAGTAAGGAAGATCTAAAATACAGACCAAGATCATGCTGAGTATTCAAACAGCCTCTAAAGGCCTTCTAAGAGCCCAGTTCAAAGAGCTGTGTGTGAAGCTGTGCTCAGATTCTACTTACACCCATGTTACAGATACTTGTATAACACTCGGCATACACATCAGAATCCAAAACTCAGGCTCAAGTTTTGTCCCCCCAGATATCCATATAGATCAGTTGAGAGTGCAGCTGGCCTTCAAGGACCTTCAATACCAGTGTCACAAACAGAGAGAAAGAGGAGTTTTAAGATTCAAGATCAATTTGGCAGTGTCATGGTTTAAGCCCAGCTGGCAATGAAACACCATGAAGACACTCGCTCACTTCCACCCCAGTGGAGCAGGGAGGAGAACCAAAAGTAAAACTTGTAAGTTAAGAACAGTTTAATAATTTAAACAGTAAAATATTGTAATAATTATGATATTCTGATTATGCTGACACTGATTTTATTATTAGTAGTAGTAGTAAAAGAAAAAAAAACAAACATGAGTGATACACATACAATTGCTATGGCTCATTGATGCCCAGAGGCCATCCCTGAACTCTGAACTGGGCATGACATTCTCCGGCATGGAATATCCCTTTGACCAGTTCATCTGTCCATGCTCCCTCCCAGCTTTTTTTTTTTTTACATTTTTTTGAGCACCTCCTCACTGGTAAAGCATGAGACACAAGTCCTCAACTTAAGAAAAACACCACATAGCAACAATCAAAACATCAGTGAGTTATCAACATTTTTCTCATACTGAATCTAAAACACAGCACTGTACCAGCTGAGAAGAAATTAACTCTATCCCAGCTGAAACAGCTGTTCCATAGGACTTACATCTGACAACTGAGGCCTACACACACCAGGACTCAAAGACAAACCTACGGTGCCTCATGCTGCCGATCTGCTACAACTGCCTTAGTATCTATCTTAGTAACTATCACTAGCAGACTACCTAGAAAGTAGTTTACCTGAAATGCCAACTTGAATAAAGGAAACCTCTCTTTAAGGGCAGCCTGACCATTCCTTTGAGCATTCCTGGGACAAAGCTTCAAAATAATTTGCTCCACCAGACAATCCAGCCACAATCCCTGATGTGCTAGGAGCACTGAGGGAGGCAATGTACAAGAGATGCAGGCTAAAGTTTCTGGGTGTGCTCTTCTCTGCACCACGTGTCATGAGCAATGACTGTTCGGAAAGCCAGAGCTGTGTTATAAAAAGCTGTGCCTGAGCTGAAAAGCTACCATCATTCAGGCCGCAGTAAAACCCACTCCCCAAAACTCCCACAGGAACCATGTTAAAATGTGCAAACCTTTCATCTGATAGTCAAAGGTGAGCTCTTCTCCAGCCTTGATGGTTCGGGTAGAGAACAGTGCTATTCGAGGAAGACGCAAGTCGAGGTTATCAATAAACACGTTGAAGACTTGAAGATTTGGATCACACTGTAAGCAAAAATTAATGCAGTTTCTCTTTAGAAAAATTAACATTTAATTTCAATGAAGTGTTTAAGTACACCAAGGTCATAGCAAAGAAAGAATGGGTTCAGTGCCAGAAGTTTGCAATTAAGTTATCTTCTGAAATCAACAAATTGAAATAATCCTCCAGGAGAACATTCATAGATCAGATTCAAGTCCTTCCAGGAAGGCAACCTTTGCACAATGTGCAGATTACACTAATATGCAACAACCTACAAAAAAAATGGCACCTTCAAAGGTGACAACAAAAATGGTGACAATAATTAGAGCTACCTTCAGAGGCTAGTATGTACCAACAAAACCCATAAAAAGCATTAAAGTTGAAAGAAAACAAAAAACAACCTATTGTTTCAAGCCCCACAAACTCACTACTCTGTACTGATGTTTAAGCATTGCTTCCAGGCCAGAGATAACATCTTCATACTATGAATGAATTTCTACTGTAAACTGCAAACCTGCTTGGCTTCTGAATTCCCTGCCATGGTCTGGGTGCTAGGAGGAGGGAAGGTCACTAAGCTGGAACAAGAAACCACTTCCTCATTTTCTCTGGATTAAGTGTCAGAAGTCACTAGTCCCTGAGACTGTCAAATTCTGCATGCTTTTTTGTTCTGTAACAGTGAAATATATCACACATTAAAGAATCAGAAGTGAAGTTACAGACATTTAACGTTACACTAAAGACTGAGAACACTTCACTCCCATTTGCAAAAATGAAGAGCAACTGTCAGTATCTAAAATTCTTCATCCTTCTCCCTGGCAAGCCTGCATGAAATACAACTATCATCATCTCACAAACCTGAAGACATAATTTTCTGTACTTTTAGAATACTGACTGCATACATCACAAACACTGGATCAGTAAGAAATAATAATTTTTAGTTCAGAAATCCTTACAAAATGAAGCTCAGCCTTCTTGCTTTAGGTATTTCAGTTGAACTTGAACAAAACACTACAAAAACTGCTTGTTAAAATTTACTTTTGAGTTCTCTGGCAAGTTTAGATTAGGAGGAAAAATTGTATTTCTCCCCTGTAGACACCTAAGAAAGCACAGGAATTTTCTCTTTTTCCTCTACCATGTTTGCAGGATGAAATTCAGAGTAACATTCCATCCTGTCCAGCTACAAAATAACATCAGTTCCTGCCATCTCTGACTCCTGGCTAATTTTACTGAGGACCTGTCACATGTTAAGTATTTCAGGTACACAGAAAAAACACACCCTGATCAACCAACCCTATTTTGGTAGTCTAGAACCAGCTGATTCAGCGAAAACTCCTATAGCGTGTCCACTTCAGGCAGCATCTCTCCTCCAGATTTTTGTAGGTAGTCTCAATCCAAGTAAAGTCAAGTATTCTCTTCTATTTATTACATCATCTGATTAACTGCACTGTGCTGGCATGAAGAAAATTACTCCAGAAAAACTATGAATACAGTAAGGAAATGTTTACAATAGAAGACATTTCTAGCACAATTAGGATAATTCTCCAAATCCTTAGTATACAAAACAAGGTCTTACACTGTGGTTCACAAAGTGGGACACATTTCCGTATCGAGCTGCATCTACTGTAAATTCATCTGAGTCATAGTCCAAATCAAACAAGTATGTATTTCCCTGGTTGTCATAGAGCTGGCCTCGCTTCTCTGCTTCCTCACTTGTAATCACCTAAAAAAAAAAATAAATAAAAAAGAAAGGAAAAAAGAAACCTGCATCATATTATTAACCATTACTAAATCAAAACAAAAATCACAATCAAGTTAGAAAAATGCTTAGTAAAAAATACCACAATAAGTTTCTGATGTTGAAATAGCATTCCATCTAATGAATGAAGAATACATAAGAGTACATACAGCTGAACTAATTATTATTGACTGAGGCTTCTCTGGATGCAATTTGTCTACAGCTGATGCACAGCAGTACCTTGTCTCTGAAAAAAAAAACATATCAGCACCCTCTATTAATAGTTTTGATGATGACAATACAATCAACTGTTTTTACCTGAAGTTTCTATATACACACTTTTCCATTAGACCCTGGAAAGCCTCCTTTACTTCACATAAAACCAAGATTCAACCTTTTCCCTTTGCACGGATGATCAACAGGTATTAGTCTTTAAAACCCAGCCACATTTACAGCCTGATATTCATTTCCTCTCTTCCCAGAAGCATCTCTTCCTGCTATTTTTGACTGCAATGAAAGACCCTATTCATGGCAGCTCAGACAGACATCACAGAGCTCAATCTATTCGATTAGGTGAGTGTGTCACTGTCAACAGATGAAACAGCTTAAACAACTTCACCTGCAGCCTGTCACATTAAACACATCCTGTTGTGCAGATTCAGCAAATAAATCATAATTTGGCAGCAAGAGAGACACAAAATATGATGGAATTGGACAACAAATCCCTCTAAAATCTGACAAATGTGGTTTGAGAACTCAGCAGTAGATATTAAGTAGAATCAGGTGAAATGGTAAATACACATTCTTTCCTTTAAGCAATGAAATTACCTAATCACCTTTCCGCATTAACAGAGATATTTGGGATGTCTGACCTTTTGTATATTTAAAGGAAATGGATGAATATAGTAAGTAAGAAGCTTTGGGG